TTTTCTAAATAAATGAGATTGTAAAGGATCTTGGGGGTTCTACTGCAAAGTTGCCCCTAACTCTTCACCCCTCCCCACCCCATGTGATCTTTCTGTTTGTATAAGGAAAAAAGGACTGATGTTAATAGAATACATTTTTAAAAAATTATGGTTCTAACGGAGCCCAATAGATGCCAGGAAATTCAAAGTTAAGTCTCATGATCTGGCTCTGAATAGACGCTTTTGTACTAATGACATTCCCTGAAGCTACACCAATCCCGCTACCAGTGATCTGTACAGAAATGATGCTAAAGCACTGGAAGCGCTGTATGGGAGTATTTTTTGTAGCCTCATTACCAAAATGAATGCCATCCAGAATCAAGATGTCTGGGAATCACTTCACAGCGATAAAAGATGCTTGTTGGGGCAAGTGGCATTTTTACACCCTGCACTTTCTTTTGCCTTCTATAGCTACAGACGATGGCCAAGATTTTCAAAAGTCACTAGTGATTTTGGGTTCTCAACTTGGCACATCTTAGAGGCGGCCTGATTTTCAGATTCCTTTAAGATATCTTAAGTTTCATGATTTTTGAAAATGTTAGCATATATATCTCATCACAAGTGTAAAGCTTTGTTAAATGCACCGTGTCTGAGAGGTTATTTGTAACCTTGGCTTTCTAACCAACTTACATTTTGCTATAAACAAGCATATTGTGAGAACATGCTTTGATTAACAGGGGCAGCCCCACTACAAGAAGAGCAGTATATGTATATAGCTTTCCATGCATTTGTATTTGTTTGTAGATGTTTAAGGAAAATCAAATACTTAGAACGAAATATACGGGGCCACCCAGAGGATTCAGGGGGCCTGGGGCAAAGCAATTTCGGGGGCCCCTTCCATAAAAAAAAAGTTGCAATACTATAGAATACTATATTCTCGTGGGGGCCTGGGGCAAATTGCCCCACTTGCCTCCCCCCCCCCCCGGGCGGCCCTGGAAATATAATGAAAAACTCTAGCAGAGGCTGATGTCTATTCCAGAGATATAGTAAATGTTAGGCAGCCTTGTTTAAGAATAGCTATTATCATACTTAAAATCTTTATCAGGTGAAATGCTTGTGAGTTTGGGATGGGACCCTGCAGTGGGACAGTTACCCCACTCCAGTGTGGAAGGGGTTAAAAACAGCCCTGGGAAAGGGCTGCCCCGGGCAGCCAATCAGGGCCGGGTTGGGAGTATAAGAAGGCCTAAGGGAGGTGCTGGGTCAGAGTCTCTCTCTAGCTGTGGAGAGAGATGGACCTAACTGCCTAGAGGAGCAAAGGGTACCTTGGACAGAGCAGTGCTGGGGAAGAGACAGGCTGAGCTGAGGCCTGACAGGAATGCCTAGGGAGGTACTGGGGCTGCAGGGAAAGGCAGCAGGTCCAACCCCCTTGCCAATGATGAGTGTCCATTAGAGATTGTAGTCTGGCCCCAGTGAAAGGAGGCTAGGTGATGACTGGCAGAAGCCACTAAGGCAAGGTGGGTATAGAGGGTTGGGGTTCCCCTGGGAGGGGAGACCCAGAGTGTGGGGGTACTGCTGGGGAAGAACCCCAAGGTAAAGGGGCTGGTGTAGTGAAAGTATGACTCATGCTGGTCCCACAATCCTGTAGAATATTTTGGAATCAATGCTTGAATTCCTGCAGTACCAGTAGAGGTCGGGTCACAAAAAGCAAACTGCCAGACAAAGTGGATACTACCGAGCCAGTGGATCAGATGGTGTGGGAAATGACAGGATGCCGTTTTTTTGGGTAGAGAAAAAAAATGTGGAGCATCTCTTCTTCCCATCACCCCAATAGAGGCGTAGGAGAAAAGGAAGGATGGACACCTCACCCATCTGACAGCTAGGCGGAGGAGGGAGAGTTCCTTTTCTACCCTATAGCTTGGACAGTGGAAAGCCTTCCAGGAGTGGAGGAAAGAGTGACCTTGCCCACATCAGCAAAGCAGTAGGAAGTGGAGACAGCATTGGTATGGCAAATGAAGACTGGCAAATAATTCTAATAGAAGAAATACTAATCTAGGGAAAGAAACAGGGATTCACTCTAAATCAGAATTCTCTATTTCTGGCATCACAGTAATTTCCCTGACTTCAGATGGTGGTGACCCATTATATTGTTTAACCACTTAAGAATGAATGAAGTTTGCCAAAGAATCTTTGCAGAAGAAAGAAGACAGAGATCATGAACAGATATGTCATCGGTAGCTAGATATTTAGAGGGGAAAATCGTCCCATTTACTTTGTGAAGAATAAACTGACTGTGCTCAAAGGAAATGTTTCTAAATTGTAATAGTCCATTGTGAGTTATCTAAGCATAAACATAATTATTCTCTCTTATAATTTATCTTTCTAGTGTTTGCACAATAAAGCAATGGCGTCGTGTCTGCAACATTGCTATCTGTTACTCGAGGAATGTCTGTAATAAATAGAAGGATTAGCCTTTCAATAAGTGAAGCAACAAACAGCAGGGGTTGAATTATGAGACAGTCTTTGGATGAGGATGCTTAGACACCTGATTAAATGGCAATTTTGGGAAGGGAGCTACAGAAGAAACGAAATCAGTGAAACCTAAATGGACCCGATGTTTAAATGTTGTCTGAAAATGACTTGGATCTTTTGGCTTCCATTGTCTAGAAAGCTCTCAGTCATATTTTCATTCTAGCCTTTCATTAGCTGCTTTTAATTACAATAGAACTCCTCAGTTTCAGGAATCTTCTTAGTCTGGTAAGGTGAAAAAACTTTCAAAATGCCAGTTTGGGACCTTCATATTTAAGAGATCCAATGTATTACATGGAAACGCTAAACCTTTTACCCATAAAATTTTTATTAGTGATGGTTTAGAGTTAGAGTTTGGTTGGATACTTATCTGGACTTTCTAAATGTGTCAAGTCTGCAAAATTTTGCTGATGACTCACAAGAACAAGGTATCTGTTACTGTTACTTCATGCTCCATATTGGAATAAAATACCATGAGAATAGATTTCCTCATTACATCTGTCTCAAGCTGCGGCTGGAATGGACAGAAGTGTAGTAGAAAGTTAAAAAACTTTTTTTTTTTTAACTGAACTTTTTTGAACCATCAAAAGTTTGGTTTCACTTTTAGGTGAAGGTTAGAGTTGGCTCTGATTAAAAAAAATATTGGTTTGCCCATCTCTAGTATTATTTGGGGCTTAAGCCAACTGATCTCCAGTGTCATGAAACTAAATTCAGTGGGATGGTCTGAAAGTTTAGGTTCAACTTTACAAAAGACTCTCAACCAGCCCCTAAGTTTGCACAGTCATTTTTACCCACAAAAAAGATTTTATGTGCATAAACAGCATATTGGTCACACAGGTAAATATCAGTTTATGTGCACAACTTGCCTTTCACATGGACAAACTGTCTTTCCCACATGTAAATCAGGAGGCCGTAAGTGAGTTTGATCTGTTTAAATTCTATTTTTAAATCAAGGCTGGAAACTAACTTTTTTCAACAGACCCCGATCAGGATCATGAAAGGCACTATTAAAAAACATAATTTACAAAGTAGTCATATTATAACAGCTGATACTGCAACAAAAGAGTCTTCTGAAACAGCTGTAGTTAGGATAATCAGGAGTAAACAAGGTCTCCAAAGGGATACTCATTTGAACACTTTAAAATCAGAGGTAGAGTATAACAGGCCTGCTTAATGGAGCTTATCATAAACAACATTTCATATTCTCCTCCATTAATTACATCTCTCTTGCATCTTAGTCATCTAGCCCGAGAGGTCTATTTCCATTGAAAAGTATCAATCTGTAAATTGCTAGTGTTAGTTTCCCAGTGTTTCTATAAAAACCCCTAGACTGCTTGCTTTCCATTTGGTCCATTTGCAGAAAGCTGCTCCAACATTAATCTGCTGGCACATAAAGAGTACAACGTTTTTAAATGGAAGTCCTTTAATTGAGTGCCTAAACCAGTTAAAAATGGACCCACTCTAGGTTAAAGTAGAGACTGTATGTATTGAGAGAGTATTCTCTGCCTGTTTTTAAAATAAAATAAAAGAGGAAGACTATTTATTTGCTATGGATGGCCAAAAACTGGTATAGGCAAAATAGCTACTTACTTTGAACTCCACTGAAACTCAAAATAAACCTTATACAAACCTGTTTCAAGGTTTGAAATTGGTTAAAAACAAAACACCCATGTCAATTTCTTATATTTTTGCATTCTTGGTCCCAAATACAAGCAGAAATATTGGAATAACCTGACAACATGCTCTTGTGCAAATTCAGACCCAGAACTGTGAGGTATCCACTCTTTCAAGAAATCCCATTCCCATTGATTTCCAGCCCACTTTTGCAGACCCAAGAGGGTCAGCTGGTTTAATTAAGCTTTACAGAAGTACCCAAGCTTTTGTCCTCTGATCTGATCTAAACATCCAAACCTTTTGTTTGTTACCTGTCACTATGAACTATCACTTTATGGATGAAGGACTACAAAAAATAATTAGAAGCTGTAAAATGTGTAAAACACTGAACTGTCAAGGTAGTTATGTTATGCAAGAAGACAATTTCCATATTTTAGAGATAATGCCCTAAATTTCCAAGGGTGACTAGTGATTTTGAGTGCTTCCATTTTTGGAAGGCCAGTTTGAGACACCCCGCTGCAAGCCACCTGACTTTCAACTCTTTCTGAAAATAGTGTGCATCCAAAATTACCAGTTGCTTTTGAAGACTTAGGCCAAAATACATACCCTATGGTCTGAGAGATTAGTTGCTACAGAGTCTCAGATCGAGATCCTCAAAGGCATTTCAGCGCATAACTCCAACGGACAACAGGAGTTATGCACTTAAATACCTTTGAGGGGAACTGGGGCTCAGTCCACATCCAAAGTCATGATGATGTATGAAGGTCTAAGGGAAGGTATCTTGTTCTTCAGGCTGCATGGTGGCAATGGAGCTGCTACACAGCATCAGTCTCCCATAGTCTGTCTGATGGGGAAGGGGGAGAAAGTTTTGATTTGCTTACAGCGCTCATGAGGGAGTCCAATACACTGACGGCGAATGCGGTTCCACATGCAAATGGCTGTGTAAGATACAATTCTGTGTCTGGGTCGTCGTCATCGTCTTGGTCCAAAAACTGAACGTTTGAATCATTTACTGAAAACAATAATACAAAAATATCATAATATGCTTCTTGGCCCACAGCATGTGACCTTACATACTACACAATCAGAAAGAAAAAGCAACGGCATGTGTCTGGAAACACAGACTTGTGACTTTGACATCACTTAAAATGAAATCAAAGTGGATGTGAAAATATGCACTTAAAAAATCTGTTGATCCTTATTTTGCTTGTATGAAAGGTGAATATCCCTGTGCCGTAAAAACGACCATCTTGGCACCACCTGCTCATTTGCCATGGTGCTGACATACATTTTCCATCCGTACAGGCAAGATACAATGGGTAGGGCTGCGCGGATATGCAGTGAACCGTTAATGTCAAGTCCACTTTGTGATATAAACCTTATCCACAAAAACACTGGTTCAACCCAAAGGCATCTGCTACTGTGATTCTTTTCTGATGGACCCATGTTAATGCAATTGCAGCTCCAAAGAGGGAAGCTCCCCATTCAGCTTGCATCAAGCTTGTCGCACAAAAGCAATACATTGCAATTCTACTACTATCCTACAGTATGGTTTCAGCTACAGCCTCACCGCCCTAGCCATGAATTCTATTCCATGCAGTGTGAGGAAGTATCCACATCAGGTTGCTTTGCAGAAAAGACCAAACAAGGTAACATTTGACATTTAGATTCTCATTGAGTTCCCAGAGTTCATCTCCACCCTGCCCCCTGCCACTACACACAGCTTGATATAAATCTTATCAAGCAGATGATATTTATTAAGTCTTTTCTTTTCCATTTTAGGACTCCTCAGTCATAAAAGTGCAGACTGATCATTTGTGTCACCAAAGATGCTTTTGAAATTATTAAAAATTAAATGACAAATTACTTTCAATTCCCATCCAGGTCTGAGAAATTATCAGTTTTGCAGCATCTGATAGTGTGGATCTTGAATACTTTTATTGTCTCATAGTTATTGGAAATTCCCTGTATTTATTTTTTAGTAGACAAGGATGCTCCTAAAAAGCCAAATCCTAGTGCCATTGACTTCAATTGGATCACTCTCTATCTAGAAATATGCCTGCCATTCTGAACTATCATCTTGAGACAGTTACTTTTATTTGATCAGACTAACCATTATTCAACAGCTATCGTCTACTAGTATAATATTGCACTGTTCATGCAAGGGCCTCAAAGAGCTCTACAAGTATGAACAATGCCTATAATATAACAGCCCTGTGAAGAAGATAAGCATTATTATCCCCATTTTACAGATGGGTAAATTAAGGCACCAATTGGCTGTGACATAACCAAGGTCAAACTGAGTCAGTAGTAGAGTTGGGAATAGAACATACAATTCCTGATTCCTCATCCCCTGCCATAACCACTAAAAAGTAACATCTCTCAGAGCTATATACAGTCACAGGTTACATTATATGGTGTAGATGAATTTCATCCTGGTAAATAGCTCCATCTACACTATATCTTGCCCAGTGGCTGTCAATTTATTCTTGGGCTCCTAAGCAAAATATTGTTGAAAGCCTGTTGTACCATTTCAAAATTCACTTTTTGAAAAGACTGTGCCTTTGTTTAATTTGCTAGCTGAGGAGAGGAACTATAAACAGCAGTACTCTTTTTCTACTTTTATCTGGCAGACTTGTAAGACTAATACCTGACTTTGACACAGACTTTCTAACAGTACGTAGTGTCAGTTTCCAACTTACACCAAATCTTCTGTGAATTCTACAAGTGCAGTTTAAGCCTGAATATATCTTTATCTTCCTGATGCAAGTTAGCCTGCTATGATTTTTTTGAAAGGTCTCCTGGCTAGGTGGGGGTAGGTTTAAGAGCGCAGCACTGCACCACAGGAAATGCTAATCAAACCCTGCTCTGAGCCCCTTGTGAAATCTCATTTTATTGAGAGAGTGCAGCATAGAAGCTTTGCTGCTTTAGCTTCAGAGCCTGAGAAAAGGTCTACCCACAAAAAAAAATAGAACAAACAACTTAAGGGAAGGTATGATATCGGGGTTTCTTTTTCAAAATCTTTTATTTCTTTTTTTACTTCCTGTGAGAGCTAAGGCATGTCAGTCAAATTGACAATAGACTGAACTAAAAAGAGGTGTGTGGGGGGGAGGTAGGCCAAAGAAAATGAATTGGTGAGAAGATGCTATGGAAACAGCCGGCAGGTCAGACCAGTGTGATCAAAGGTTTACTGATGCTGCGTGAAAAAGAAATCATTAAGAAAGGCCAGAACAAGACAGTCAATTTCTACTAAAACCACAAATAAAACCCATTCAAAGCAGTGCCATGAGGGTAGCCCCTCTGATACAGCCAGATAAATAAAGAAAAAGCTGATGATGGTAGGAACAACACCACCAACAACAAAAAAAGGACAGTGATGTGAAGGAAAAAGGCACTTCTTACCCAGTTCAGTTATCATTAGTATGTGGGTTCCACTGTTTTTTTCCTGACTGATTGAAACCAAAGGCAGAAGTTTGCCAGGCTTAGCTAATAAGTAAAGTATTTAGGGGTGGGGGAAAGAAAGTACAGAAAGAGAATAAAATAAGGGAGTAAGCCAGGTAAGGCTCTAAAAAAACAAAAACTGAAAAATAAAAAGGACAAAGGACCACAAATCAAGTTTGTATTTGCCATGAAAACTTCTGCACTTCACATCACAACAACTTGACAACATGAATATCCACAGCTAGAGTGGAAATCATACCCAGGTAACCAGTTGCCCCATTCTCAAGGGTAACAAGTGTCATGTCACTATGCAGTGATTATGCAATATTAAACAAGTTTTGGAGCATGAAGGGTTAACTAAGTAGCCTTTTAAATGCAGAAGGGAAGTCTGCTGGCATCTTACACAACTTTTCTTTTTTTTAAAAGAGATGGTCCCAAAGAACCATGCCTGCTTGGTACAATACATTAAGAACAACCTCTTGCCTAATGTAGTGTGTGTTCAAGAACATACAAGGTGAAAACTCATAGGGAAGAACTAATTTAGTTATTTATCCAAGTAGAAAGTTTCCCCTAATGTTTCCTCAGCAAGAGTAAATCAAAACAGTTAACTGAAGAGTAAACGTGGTGTCCTTGGCTATGAAATAGGTAACTCTCCTGAGGCCTGTAAAAGGAGATGGAAAAATATATGGGAATGGACATGAAAGGAGTATTTTTGTTTTCCTTACCTAGCTCTGTTATAATAGGTATGTTGGCTCCTGTTGTGATTGAGGGTTGACGTAACAGACCATGGACTGGACTGTTGTCTGGAGATGACCTATCCATTCCTGGTGGCGTAAACCCTAAGGAAGGAATGTCAAACAGTTACAGGATGAACTTCAAGTAGCAAGGCAAACAGAAAAGAATGTAACAAGTCATTTCAGACTGATGCAAATGATGACAACAGATGTTAACATTGCATGAATCTCCTGTGGTAGATTATTGTTCAGAGTGCTACAGGTAGAAATCTGCTATAAACTATTTTACTTAACATTCAGCATTGCTGAAATACAGCCCCTCAAGCCTATCAATATTACAGGCATTTTATGCTATAAGACAGCTGGCAACAATTAAAGCCAACGCACTTCTGCTAAACTTGTGAAACAGCAGTTTTTACATCAAAACATGCTAAAACTTTCGGCACAAATGTGATCCTTGTTTAAAAAACTGGAAACAAAATCCAAAGCCATTAATATTTGAGGGTTTTTTTCTTGCTATCAGTATTTCAAAGAACACTAGTAATAAACATCCTTACTTAAGCCTCACACTGCATTCTAAGGCTTGTTAAATCACCATGTTTGCAGCTTTCAGGAGCTGATGGGTCTGATTCATAAGATTTAGGGGGGAGCTGCAAAGACCTTTGAAGGATTTAGTTACTTTAAGAAGTTTCCAAAAGCATTATGAAGCCCATAGAATTATTAATTTCCATGCTGATCTTGCAGAATCCTCATGGCTTCCATTCAGAGCCACCATGAGTCAGAAAGAGCAGGAAGCACTAGTGTGGAAGGAATGGGGAGCGAGACTGACATATGGCAGGTGGGCAGGAGAGAGGGGAAGGACATCTGGAGATAAACAGGAAGAGGTGCACACACTTGGGGAGAGGATGGCATAGAGAGAAAGTGCGGAAGAGCCACATGGGTGGTGAAGGGATGGTCTGGGGTGGAGCAAGGGCCTCTGTATGCAGCTTGCATGCTCCACCTGAGTCCCTGCAAGTTCTGCAGGAACACCTGTCACTGAACAGTTCGTAAACATAAAAAGGTAATATCCAGGCACATTATTTTGCTAAGCTGGAGTTACAATGTAAGTGCTGAATCTGTCAATGATTTAAGTAAACCAAAAAACTCTCACAAAAAGTTGGCCTGGAAATTAATTGATATGATATATACTTAAGTCTCCCAGCTTCGAAAAAAGTAGGAAAAATAGAAACATGCATTTAACATCACCATTGTTGCAGTTAGGCTCAAGGACTCCATTTCCTCCTGGCTATGGCAGTATTTTTTAAGCAGCTATTTGTCTATCCATGATGCCAAACTATTTTTGCATTATAAATTGTTGAAAAGCCATTAGACTTTGGGCAAATTCTGCCCAGACTAACTTTATGTCTGAGATCCACAGACAGATTTTTGACTTTTTGTCATTACTCGCCTGGACTAGATTTGAATCATCTAGATGCCACCAAGCCCCCGCCTCCCCCCACCCCCCCAGAGTCAAATTTATTCCTGGTGTAACTCCATTGCCTTCTCACAGCATACAAATTGGTCCACTCAGCTAAAGTCATTCATACATTCATCTGCTATTGACTCCAAAATGAGTTGATACCGTATTTCCATCTGCCCTGTCCTCAATTTTGGCAGTATAAATAAGTCATGAGCTATCATAAATTTATAGCACTTCAAAATGCGATGTCAGTCCCTTATGTGGATTTTTACCCCTTTCTTGGAAGTAATAATCACCACTATCAAACGAGCTTTAACTATTTTAAAATATTAAGTGCACTAATTTTGGCCCCTCAATTGTCCTCTCAGTCTAACACCAGTTTGGCACACGGGGAGGATCTCCAGTTCAGCTCTGTGCTCCTGAGTTAGCAGAGCTAGGGAGAGCTGTAGGAATTACTGCACTCACCCTCCTGGGAAGGGGGGATAGAACTCTGTTTTGTTCTGAAGCTACTTTGGCCTTTTGTCTAAGATCAAGTGTGGTGTCAATTTAACACACACTCTGATGCAACAAATATTGCTGAGAGACCATCCTACCCCTGCAGGGAAATGGATTTTCTACCGTAGGCCTTCTCCACTTCTAACTCTTGTGATCCTCCAGGAGACTCCAGCATGAACTGTCCCCTGCCATCTGGAAGAAAGCTCCCAGCAGCACAAGGCCTGTGAGGATGGGCTAAGTAAAAGCAGGGGTGAAAGTGAGCCGGTAGCAGGGCTGGCTCCAGGCACCAGCTTAACAAGCAGGTGCTTGGGGCGGCCAAGGGAGAGGGTCGGCACCTGCGGCAATTCGGGGGTGGCAGGTCCCTCACTCCCGCTAGGAGCGAAGAACCTGCCGCTGAACTGCCGCCGCCGATTGCGGCTTTTTTGTTGTTGTTTTGCTTGGGGCGGCAGAAATGCTGGAGCCGGCCCTGGCCGATAGGTACCGGTAAGAACACGCACCGGCCCATACCCAGAGAGAAAGGGCAGCGACGTTAAAGCGCTGCCATGGCAGTGCTTTAAGGACAGTCCTTTGCCGCGGCAGCACTTTAACGTCGGCGGGGGAGGGGGGTGCAGCAATGTTAAACCGCTGCCATGGCAAAGGGCCCTGCAGCACTTTAATGTCATTGCTCCCCCCTCCCCCACAGCCCCCCGTAGCCTCCGGCGGGCCGGGGTGGGGGTGGGGGAAAAGGAGCAGTTGCCCTGTGGCTCTGTGATTTAAAAGGGCGCAGCAGTGGCGTCCGGAGCCCTGGGCCCTTTACATCAACACGGGAGCCCCGGGCAGCGCGGGCCAGGCAGCCTGAAAGGGCTGGTTGGGGGATGCTGACCCACAGCCCACCCCCTTCCGCCCAAGGCCCCGCCCCTTACGGGGGCCAGAGCGCCCCCCCCCGGCCCATACCGGAAAGTGGCCTAACTTCAACCCTGTGTAAAAGGGAGGGAAAACTGTGGCGAGAGGCTCTGAATGGTGATGGGGAGGGGAGGCAAAATCATCTCAATGCCTTCCACAGATTTGAAAGGCACAAATTCCCACGTGGGAATTTAAGCACAGCAATACAATTCCAGTCATCAATGGTGATTCGGATAAAACAGATTTCTTCAAGGCAGGTGGAAGTGATGAGTATGCCACAGTATTTAGTTTTACTCAATGTACTACTTACTCATTGTATTGAAATCAGTTCTACTATGCCACCATGGAAAAAAGCAGATTGCATGCCCAATTGATTTCTGTGTGATAGTCTCTATCATGGCCAAATCCCATGTATGAGTAACAGCCATTCAAGAACTTTTATTGACACAATACCTCACCCACTCCGGGCTACATCACAGATCTATGCTGTGCTCTGACTCATACTGGCCTACCCAGACTTTTCCAAGGAGCCCTCTCAAGATTCAAAAGAGCTGGTAGATTAATTATGGATTGAGAGTCCTGTCTCAGGACTTTGCAAGGGGCAGGAGTGGTATTTCTGGAGACGTGGATGCTGGGATTGGGCTGCTGTCTGTTGTTGACTCCTCTGTTGGTGTTTTGTATACTTTCATGTTCTGCAGTAGGGGGCATGATGTGAGACATCAGCTCTTCAAAACACAAGTGGCGACAGACAATGAGAGAGCGCTGTATGTGCACTGAGGCAGCTGGGTCCACTGGAGAATTACAGCTCAGCGTGACTTGCAGCAAGTCGCCTAACCTCACACTGATTTGAGGGTAGAAAAGGCTAACCTTCTCCCCACAAGCCCTTGAGGCATTGGTGGTGGGCAGTGTTAGCATGAGACACCACTGTTCAGACCATCCTCAAAGGCTTCTTTTCTCTCTTTTCCCTAGAGGCTTTTCTTCCCAGTCCAACACTGTGTCTACTACAATTTTTCAATGAATCAGGCCCTTCAGATTGTATAACTAGTCAGTAGCTTCCTGCCAGCTCAGAGGAAAATGTAAAGACTCAGTGTAACATGCCTCTAAATGCATGACTCCCTCCACTCTCCCTAGAAGGCTATTTGTAGCCACCTCTCTCTAACCCCTCAAATATTTGTCTTCCTAGGATGGTGTTAGGAGATAGAAATAAAGGTGGCATTTCTGTTAGGCACAGACTGTCAGGAGCTCTGTAATTGCACATTGCACACACAGTGCATTCTGTATGAAATGCAGGAAGCATGTTAAAGGGATTTTGTTTTCTCCATGAATGAAAAATAATCCTGAACCTTAATATTTTTTCCTCGACGGTTTTGGAAGATGTGAGAAATATCCACAACTTTATTTCCCTGACAGTGCTTAATTTGAATTGGCTGTTTACACAACTAACAAATCTGGAATATTTTCAGCAAAAGAAAAATCAGAAAATGTAGGGATTTGGGGTCTGTATCTGTCTATCCACCAAATCCTTATCCCAACCTTTAGGACATGTCCTGTTTGCAGCCTGCCTCCCACCCATAACATAAATTTTAGATGCTGTCTATTTTTTTCCACCAAAAAAAAGTGAAGGAAAACTAAACTGTTTTATCAGAACTTTCATTTAAAGGCATGGAAAACTACAAGTGACAGCTGTGCCGATTCAGTGAATGTGATGTTTCTGAATTTCTTCAATTTGACAAGTAAACACCTTAAATCGGTAATGCTATATGCATAATACATGGCCTGTATTTTGACATCCATCATCAAATGCTGACTTGAGAAAATACAGGTTGTACGTCAAGGAATAGCACCCATAAAGCAGGGAGAAAATCAGGTCACAGGGTATTAGGAAAACTATTTTATTACAGAACCAGAAACAAGCTAAGGCACCAGATTTAAGATCCATTTTCGGCTGTGAAAAGATGCAATTTCTTTGGACAGAGCCTTCATTTAGAAATGACCTGCTTTCCTCACAGCCCCTTTTCACTTTCCTTATTGCATTTTCTCCTTCGGTTCTCCAAATCGTGTTCCATTGACATTCATAAACCCACTGAACCAGTGCAGGTGGTTATAGTGATCTTCCTAACTGCAGTGCCATACTTGTTCTACAAACACCACCAGGGGCCTGAGCTACAATTGCAGGATAGGGTGAAATTCACATTGCCCATGAGTACATGAAATCTGTGTGAGACAACGTAATTGCAGATGGAGAAGGATGAAATTCTCTTCCCCACAA